CCAACAAGGGAAATGAGGGGTTCCAAATCAACCAAAGGCTACGAATTAGTCGGAAATGACAATGAAGTTGTGAATGACGGTCGACACATGGACACATATAGGCCACACCCAGCAGGCAGGTTGCAGTCGGGCCTTGAAAAAAGTATTCAGTATATCAGTTCGTCGAAACAGACATTCCGGTCAGATATGGGATTCACATGCAACCCCCCCCCCCCCCCAAAAAAAAATTACGCCCGTTTTTTATTCATCATGTTCATTTAATGCTAAATAATTCTGTTGAAAATATTTTTTTCTAATAGCAAAAAAGTGGACAAGATTATTGTTTTCAATCCAGATACGGCCAGAATTTTTGTTTAAGGCAAAAATCAGGGTCAGAATTTTTTCTCTAAAATATCTCAGACTGCCCCCTCAGATCAAATGGTCCGTACCTTACATTTTAAATCTATATCTAGAGCTTACTGACTGGGGATCACTATTCAGCAATGCTATTAATGGGCTGGGGCGTGTGGGGTTAAGAATGTTTTCGTAGGTAAATAATATTGCTGTGGAACTTTTTTTTTCATGAGAGTGTAATAGAGTATTACTTTCTGTTGGGTGGAATTGTGAAATAGAATTCAATACGTTCTTGCTCAATACTTTGTCTCCTTGAAGGCATCATTCTTGTCATCCTCAGCCTAAGCAATGTGTTACTGTAATTTGAATATCAAAATGACTGAGTGACGTTTTTTTCGACGAACTGGTCAGCTCCACCGTAGAGAATCACATGACTTTGACATAATCAATAATATATTACACTAAATACGAGCGAAAAATATCTTTATAAGTAAAGAATTGTCGCATAAAAATTAAATACACGGGAAATGGCAAAGTTCACGAAGTCTAGTCTGATTAATCATTTTACAAAAAAAAAAAAAAAAAAGTGCAAGCAAAGGGGGGGCTGCGTACGCCCTCTACGCCCCCCTCTGGATCCGCCACTGATATGTTTAAAATTGTATTGTTTTCATGACTTTTGTATGTGTGTATTGTATTTTGTTATTAAGTCGAGTTGAAAAGCTCACTAGAGCTTGTGTTTATGTAGTTTATGGAATATCGACTCTAAATAAAACTTTGAATCTTGAATCTTGAATCTTGAAAATCTAAAATTGTTCATAACTCAGAAGTCTCTGGTTGATTTTTACGTACATTTGTTTAATATCGTATTCGATACGGGAATCTTGCCTGAGGCTTGGCTTATTGGAAACGTAATGCCTATCTTAAAAAACAAGGGGAGCAAATTGGACTCCAAAAATTATAGGCTTATTACACTTTTGTTTTGTCTAGGGAAAGTTTTCACGTCTATTCTAAACGATAGACTTGGTGATTTTATTGAAAATTATAATATCCTAAATGAAAACCAAGCAGGTTTCCGGCAAGGTTATTCCACAACGGATCATATTTTTTTCATTATCATATATATGCTTTAAGTTCGAATTATTACGGGTGAAAAAGAAAAAAACTTTTGTGAATTTGTCGATTTTGATAAAGCTTTTGATTTTATACATCAAAATTCATTATTTTTAAACTGATATTGAACTATGTAAACTGAATTTACATAAAAATCAACCATCGTGACAACAGAGACATATAATAATGTATTATATGTCTCTGGTGACAATCAATAGAAGAAGCAATATATTAATTAATCACTTGGTCTTCACCCGTGATTTCATTATTTTATTATTTTTAGCCTTTTTCACTGCTTTTAAAATTTCCTCCCGTGTAATTGGGCAATTCAAATTTTCATTCACCGTGTGTTCTCTTTCAAAAACTCATTTTCGAACTTATTTTAAAATAAATCAAATAAATTTTGCAGTCAAATATTGCTTTTCTCTCTTGTTCTACCTCTATTGAACAATTTCCAAAATTCTTTTGGATTCTTTGTTTTTAATTCCTTCTTCTTTTTACTCATTTCAGTTTTACATTTTTACCATTCTTAATAAAACTGGTTCTTTGAGCACTAAAACATTGCTTTATTAAATGTTGAAGTTCCAAATGTTGCCTTTAATAGCAGACTCGGTATAAAGTATCACAACAGTAACAAGGTTCTTCACATCATATCTAGTAACATTATTTGCATCATTTACATATGCAGTTTAATGAAAATCTTTTTACAAACGGATAATCTATTTCTTCAAACAAATATAAGTTATAGGTAAGTACATTCTTATGTCCTGTTTTTTTTTTTATCTATCACTTTAAAATGATAGGACATTGAGTTTATTTCAGAATATGAATACCTTAAATACAAAAGCTATGTTCAATCATACAGCATACAATATACAATTGACTTAGTAGTTTTTACTTGAACAATACCCTGGAATTTTACCATACATAAACATTTGTAAAACGAGTATTTAGGGTTTATGTTAAGGTTAGGGTTAGGATTAGGGTTAGGGTTTAAGTTAGGATTAGGGTTAGGTTATGGTTCATGTTAGGGTTTAGCGTTATCTTGTACCATAGGTTTTTTCAAAGTGTACTACAGCTATATCTCAGATATTTGTTTGTTTGTTAGTTTTGTTTTGCTACGTAGGTAGTGTCAATTGGCAAACTATCGCCGTAGGCTGTGACAAACATCAATCTTACGCCGTAGGCAGTGTTAATTAGCAATCTACCGCCGTATAAGCTACATACAATTACGTTGTTTGTGTCAAATGGCAATCTAACGCTGTAGGCTACATACAACTACATTGGTTGTGTCAAATGGCAATCTAACGCCGGAGGCTTCATACAATTACGTTGGTTGTGTCAAGTGGCAATCTAACGCCGAAGCTATATGAAAAAGCAATCTAGCGCCGTAGGCTGTGTCAAAGAGCAATCTAGTGCCGTAGGCTGTGTATACGAGCACTCTTAGTTAGGGTTCAGGTTAGGGTTAGGGATGAAACATTGATAACGCTGTTATGTCTCACATTCTTTACTGACTATGATTGATTTTATGTTGGACCGTGAAAATGAAGTCAAGGTCAGATAAAACCCGCCAAACTGACATGTACATCTTATAATGTTCCATACAACAAATAGTTGATCTACTTATTAGTTACAATATCGGAGAAGCAGGCCTAATCACGCAAAGATAACATTGGTACCTAATATATTTAATGATGTCGAGGACAGTTTGACTTGGCGCATAAATTAGAAATCTCCTATGATAATGATCATATGTACTTCATCATGATCAGAGACTTATGGACATCCTAAAATCCCATACCGTCTAAAAACAAAAAAACTAGAGGCTCACCTAGGTCTATGAATATCTTTATTAATTGACACTTTCTAACATTTCAGACTATAATATTATTCATGACTAAAACTTCTTTTAAATCAAACATGTATCAGGGATAGTTCTTATGTTTTCTAAAACACAAATGTTGTTAAAATCAGCATTTACTGGCAATAACTCCTATAATACAACTAGAAAATAATCTATCTGTAAGCCGACCTATTTGCAGAGTTTGTCTTACTGATCATTTTTGATTTTTAAAGTTTTTATCTATCTATTATTGTTATTTAGATAATAAGCAAAAAAGACCCCAAAAAATCATAAAACTCTCCTAAAAGGAGTTGAATGACAGTTTCCACAATTTATTTATTTGTAGATCTTGTGTTGCTAGTAATTCTCATCATTCTAAAAAATTTTGCCCAGTCAGATATACTCTATTTATAGCAGTTTGCAAGCTGATAGAAAACACTTGCATCCCCCCCCCCCCCCATGAAAATGGGGTCAAGGTCAGATGACACCTGCCAGTTAGACATGTACACCTTACAATCATTCCATACACCAAATATAGTAGACCTATCGCATACAGTATAAGAAACACAGACCAAAACATAAAAACTTAACTATAACCACTGAACCATGAAAATGAGGTCAAGGTCAGATGACACCTGCCAGTTGGACATGTAAACCTTACAATCCTTCCATACACCAAATATACTAGACCTATTGCTTATAGTATCGGAGATATGGACTTGACCACCAAAACTTAACCTTGTTCACTGATCCATCAAATGAGGTCGAGGTCAAGTGAAAACTGTCTGAGGGAAACTTCGTAACATAAGGCATCTATATACAAAGTATGAAGCATCCAGGTCTTCCACCTTCTAAAATATAAAGCTACTAAGAAGTGAGTGAACACCGCCACCGCCGGATCACTATCCCTATGTCGAGCTTTCTGCGAGCTTGACAAAAAACCAACAAGGATAGTGGCTTAGTTTGGGTTAATTTGGCACGGTAGTTTCAGAGATGATATATTTTTTTTAAATTAATGGAAGACCATGAACTGTTAAAAAGCTAGCATTATTCTTTAACTTAACTTTCCGTTAAATATTTCAAAGTTTGGAGTCTATCAAGAATGCATCTATCCCATTTCTATCTCATATTGAACTTGAGATACAGGATATAACAGATAGTTTAGTCTGCTTGACATCTCGTCTTAAATCTAGAAAATGGGTTGGTTCAGAACTAAACTTTGCGACAAAAAAAGAGATAATTTCAGCTTCCCAACTGTTAACTTTCCTTTTTTTGAAGCAACATTTCAGCAGCACCTGCATGTGGATTCCATATCTCCCAGTTGATACGATATTCACAATTCCATTTTTTTTATCAGCCCTACAGAATTCATTTGACTGGATTTGTTCTTATATGAGCTACACGATGGGTGCCAAATGTGGAGCAGGATCTGCTTACCATGACATAGCACCTGAGATCACCCCTGAATTTTCTGCTGTTTATGTTGTGCAGTCTTTAGTTTTTTATGTTGTGCTTTGTATACTGTTATTTGGCTTAAGATCCTTTTTTTTTTTGCCATGGCATGGTCAGTTTTTGTTCAACTTCTGATTTTAAAAGTCCCTTTGATATCTTTCCCCATTTTTAAGAGACGAGGGATGCCAAGTTATGGCAAGGCTCACTCTGGCACATTTTGGGAAGGTGCACTAATAAAAATCAATTACATTTAAACATATTGTATTATATTTAAAAACTGCTGTCACAGATATGGTAGAAGTAACTGAATGATCATTATAAGTGTAAATATCACACCATTATAGTCATGATTGTAGGATTATTCTGTTTTCTGTTTACTTTCCGGCACCTAAAAAAGAGAAAAAAGAGATTTATACAATTTCCCCTTATTTAGTTATAGAGAATTGCTGCTATTTAACATATGTTGTGTATACATATACTCTAGGAAGAAAGAAAAAACAAAAGAGGCAATAAGGCCCTGATTTGGTCCAAAATTGAAACTTTATCATACATACTCTTCAGTATTTTATAACTACACTAGGGTACAATGTGTTCTGAAGATCAAAATTAATTTCACATTTGACAATTTACCATAACAAAATTTGGATATTTTGTTAAAATACTGATTTTCTTGGTTTTACGTCACCTTTTAAGTATAAATTAAATTGGAAAAGTATGTGTGAACCGCAAAAAAACAACTTTATATTTGGTGAGATTATGTAAATTACAATAAAGATTCTTATAAATCATACAATGGAAATATTGGGCAATAAATCTGAATTTGAAATTTTAGGCCCAATAGGTGCCACAATAGGGCCTTTAACAAACCTACTTCATTAAAAAACAATGTTTTATCGACTATTGTAATCTTTAAATTCAGTGGCAAATATCTCATGAATATTCATAATGATGAAAATAATGAAGTAATACTTACTAGCACATGTACCAGCATTGAGAGAGATTACATCAATAGCAATGTCACCTCTATATGAACTACCTCTCACCCCTTCTATGGTGATCTGAAGAAAAAAAAGACAAATATTTGAAATATGGCTTTAAAGATTTTTTTATAGTGTACGTGTGTGATAACATTTTGTGAGGGAATTCGATGTTTGCTATACCAAGGTTCATTTGAACCCACTTTATGAAAATACCACTGTACCAATCAGAATGAAATTTCTTGCAATGTTTTAAGAAATGATTTTACTTTGTATCCATGTACTATTATTTGTTAAACAATAAATGTATTAGTTTGGTAAGAAAAGTTTAAAATTTGCAGCTGCTACTCTGTGGAACAGCCTACCTGACCATTTCAGGACTGAAAACAGTTTTTCTCAATTTAAGAGCCTTATACAGTCTTGGAATGGTTCAAAATGTTGTTGTTCTGCTTGTAGATAAGCTTTATCATATTTTAGAAGTTGCTCTAACATGTTATTATGCCTTAAATTTTTGCATGTGTGCTATATTTTATTTGTGCTTAATTTTAGTTGTGCTTAATTTTTTAGTTGTGCTTCAGCTTTGGCTTTAGATATGTATTTTAAAAGTGATTTGCATGTATTTCGATATGACTGTGCTGTTATATATCCTGTTTGCATGTTGTGTGTTTTAATGTTGTGTTTGTGTTACCTTATATTCGGTAAAAAGCTCTTAAGAGCTTATGTTTGTATTTTTATATGTGAACCGAATCAAAATAAAACTTTCGTATTCGTATTCGTAAAAGGGTGAATTTTCTGTATAATTATTATGACTTTTGAAGCCCAAACTTTCTATTGCCTTAAATACGCAAATGAAAGATCCGAAAACTATACAAATACAGAATGACATGTTTTTGAAATTATAGCAATACTTTTGGTTGACAAATTATTATTCTTTATTGCAAAAAAATTTGTAAGGGTTCCGCGGAACCCAGTGTCTCGCCTACTTTTGCTGTTAATCGCAGGCTCAACAAAAATGAGGAAAAAAAATAATAAAAATATTCCTCTCTATACTATCTTTTGATTGTAAGTAGCTTCTGTCCAAGTTTGGTAAAAATCCAGGATAGTTTAAGAAAGTTGTTAAAATTTTAAAAACTTTAACTGCAGACTGTATGTAATGGTGACTGGAAGAAAAACTAAGTCCATTTATAAGTAAAATACGGAAAAAATGGAACAAAATTTAACAAAATTTCCTTCTAGAAACTAATTTTTGATCATAAACAAGCCTCTGTCCAAGTGTGGTACAAATCCAGGATAGTTTAAGAAAGTTGTTAAAATTTTAAAAACTTTAACCACAGAGTGAATGTAATGTTAACTGGCAGAAAAACTGAGTCCATTTATAAGTAAAATACGGAAAAAATGGAACAAAATTTTATCAAAATTTCCTTCTAGATACTAATTTTTGATCATAAACAAGCCTCTGTCCAAGTGTGGTACAAATCCAGGATAGTTTAAGAAAGTTGTTAAAATTTTAAAAACTTTAACCACAGAGTGAATGTAATGTTAACTGGCAGAAAAACTGAGTCCATTTATAAGTAAAATACGGAAAAAATGAAACAAAATTTTATCAAAATTTCCTTCTAGATACTAATTTTTGATCATAAACAAGCCTCTGTCCAAGTGTGGTACAAATCCAGGATAGTTTAAGAAAGTTGTTAAAATTTTATAAACTTTAACCACAGAGTGAATGTAATGTTTCCTGGCAGAAAAACTAAGTCCATTTATAAGTAAAACACAGAAAAAATGGATTTTTTTTTTTACAAAATTTACTTTTGAATATAATTTTATGATCATAAACAAGCTTCTGTCCAAGTTTGGTAGAAATCCAGGATAGTTAAAGAAAGTTATTAAAATTTCAAAAACTTTAACCACAGAGTGAATGTAATGTTTCCTGGCAGAAAAACTAAGTCCATTTATAAGTAAAACACAGAAAAAATGGATTTTTTTTTTACAAAATTTACTTTTGAATATAATCTTATGATCATAAACAAGCTTCTGTCCAAGTTTGGTAGAAATTCAGGATAGTTTAAGAAAGTTATTAAAATTTCAAAAACTTTAACCACAGAGTGAATATTTGTGGACGCCGCCGACGGAATGTAGGATCGCTATGTCTCGCTTTTTCAACAAAAGTTGAAGGCGCGACAAAAATGAACTTAAAATACATGTAATTTTCTCCCTACCCAGTTTTAACCTATTACTTATTATGATGTGGGCCGGTCATTGTTATTGAACCTTTCGTAATTTGATTGGACTACGTTATTATTAGTTTACCTTCAAACTGTATATTTTTTTATACATGTTTTCTGATTAAATCAGATCGTGCATGAATGTGTACAGTAACTTAAATGACCTCAAATTGGATACTGGACGAGTCCATATTACATACATGTGACAGAGCTGTCAAGTCACAACTGGAGATTTGAAAATTTTCAGCTAGAGTTTGGGCCTCATAACTGAAGATTTTTTATTGACATATTTATCGCCGTTTCCAGTGTTCATTTTGATGATAAAGTTACATATTTCCCCTATTTTTAAGATAACAGTATTACTATTAATGTTTTCTCTATTTTTTGTTACCATATTGTCAACACTTAGCTATACTATTTGTATGTATTTTTTTTTCCTTTCCTCATATTTGAGGGGCCTGATGGGTTATTTTCGTTCTTCGTGATCTGCTCATTTTCGCTATCGTGATCCGTTTTTCTACAGTTTTTTTTTTTTTTTTATATTTTCGTGATCTGTGATCATGGAAATTTATTTTCTGTGAATCGTGATTGACAAAAAAATCAACTAGTGAATCGTGATGAGATCCCCCCCCATCAGGCCCCTCATATTTGTCATCAATAGTGTGTTTCTCAGCTCTATTGTCCATTAGTAAGATATGTGTTTAAAGAGATAATCTATTTTCTAGCTTTGTTGTATAGCCAGAATTAACATAAATAATCACTCTTCAGCAATGATGATGGGACTTTATATTTATATTATTTTTTATTTTTGGTGTTTTAACGCCACTTTTAAGCACCGTTTTTTTGGGCTATTTCCTGGCGGCCAGTTTTTATTGGTGGAGGAAGCCGGAGTGCCCGGAGAAAACCACCGACCTTCGATAGGAAAACTGACAATCCTAGTCAATTAAGATTGGAGTCGAGTACACCCGCACGAGCGGGGTTCGAACTCACAACCTCAGTGTTGACTGGCTAGTGACTACAGTAGTAACTACTTAGACCACTCGGCCACAGAGGCCCCTGGGACTTTATAACAACCTTAACTGGCTATACAGCTCTCGCACAGTCGGTACTATCTTCCAGCAATATATGGAAGTTTTTAACGACCTTGACTGGCTATACAGCCCTTGCACGGTCAGAAAAATAAGGTCAATATATAAGTTGTAAATTTCAATTTAAGGGTTGAAAATAAGTATGGATTTCTCAAATAATTTTCAAAATAATATTTTTTTTATTTGTCCTAAGACATTCAAAATCATTTAAATTACCAGCCTTTTATGATTCTTTGTTCAATTTATATTTCATTCTTATTCTTTTATCAATTTACATTATTTAAAGGAGAGTAACTTAAAACATGATAAAACAAGGGAAGTAACCCAAAGTTACTTTTAAGTGTTTTCAAATACATAAAGCTTTTATTACATAACCATGATAACGGCAGTTAGCCTGAGGTAAAAATTGTTGATTAGTAGTATGTTTAACACCCAAGCTGTCAAGTGAATCCATTTAATTATACAAGTTCTTTGATTTGCATTATATATATATATTATAGTGAAACAAAAACATAATTAATGTTGACATCTATGGTAAAAAAAAAAATTGAAACCGACTATTTGGGGTTGAAATTTTGAAAAAGCAGAAAATTTTAATTATAAACCGGAGAAACGGAGAGGGCTTAAAAATCGGGAAATTTGATTCTCGCTGGAAGAATCACATGTCTGATATTATTTTTTATCAATGAAACTAAAGGTTAATGAAAGGTAAGAATTGCCACTTCTTATATTTTCAAAAAATTTTCCAAATACTGAGTAGATAAATTATTTAATAGCCCAAAATTGAAGGTTTACAAATCAGACGTTTAATTCCATCTAACAAGTCATTTTTTGAAGATAAATTCCCAAAATACATTTTACGCACAGCTATGCAAGGTAAAATTATTGATTATCTTATTAAAAAAAATTTAAAAAAAAAAACATTTTTAAGTCTCATTATAAATTTATTATTACAATTGATTCCAAACAAAAGTAGTCAGTAAATAAAGTCGAAATAAGCCCGATCTGTCTATTTTTGGACATCAAAATTCAATAAGATCGTTTTAGGGTCAATTTCGTCTACCTCACAAAATCTTGTTAGGCACTATAACTGTCTTTACTTATCTCTTTAGGCAGCTGGTACCCAAACTAGAGGCTCTTAAGAGCCTGTGTCGCTCACCTCGGTCTATGTGGATATTAAACAAAGGACACACATTAAAGACAAGAATAGAATTCATGATAAAATTCTCTGTTTGGGTGATGGTGACTTGTTTGTAGATCTTACTTTACTGAACATTCTTGCTGTTTTCAATTATCTCTATCTATCTATAATGAACTTGGCCAAGAAGTTTCAGAGGAAAAGATTTTTGTAAAAATTGTGAAAAATTAACTTTAAAGGGCAATAACTCCGGAAGGGGTCAATTGAAAATTTAATCATGTTGACTTATTTGTAGAGCTTACTTAGCTGAACAATTTTGCTGTTTACAGTTTATCTCTATCTATTATAATATTCCAGATAATAACCAAAAACTGCACAATTTCCTTAAAATTACCAATTCAGGGGCAGCAATCCAACAACAGGTTGTCTGATGTGTCTGAAAATTTCAGGGCAGATAGATCATGACCTGATGAACATTTTTACCCCATCAGATTTGCTCTAAATGCCTTAGTTTCAGAGATATAAGCCAAAAACTGCTTTTTACCCCCATGTTCTATTTTTAGCCATGGTGGTCATCTTGGTTGATGGGCGGGGTCATCTAATACATTTTTAAAACTAGATACTCTAAGGATG